TAAATTTAGAGTTAAAGTTTTAAGATTAATATTTAAAAATTTTAATTTTTTAAATATATTATATTAAAATATGTCTTTAAAATTATTTAAAAATAAATTAGTCTTGAAATATCTTAATAATAAATATCAAATATCAACGAAATATTGATTCAAGTAAAAAGAATTCGATTTTTCTTAAATAAAATTTCGAGTTTGAGTTTTATAAATAGAGAAACATATGTTAGGAGAGGTTTTTTTTATGAGATTTGATACGATTCGATTCTGAATTAATTAAGATTTAATATGATTATTGGATATCAAAACATTAATATCAAAAATAATAAATACCAAATTATAAAAAAAATTATTATATATGAAAATAGTGCTTATCAGCTTTATTTCCTAAAGATTAGGAAGAAAATCATTTTAAAATTACGTCGCTTCAATAAATTTTTATTGAAAAATATTAAATTACCATATTTTTAAAGCATGTATTAAAGTGATTTTTATCTTTTATCTTTTTAATTTTTTAGAGGTAAGACAGACAAATACTAACCTTATTACATAATATGTAAAGTTATATAAAGAGCTTTTGTATAAAAAATTATCCTTTAATTATTTCTAATTTTTTTTGAACAGGTAATTATTTCTAATTCAAATTTTAACTTTCACTAAATAAAAATGGAAAGTTGGATGAAGTTACTGTTAAGTAATTTCTTCAAAAATATTTTCGAGGAGTCCTTGGAAAAAAAACTGTACCTGAATTAAAACAAATATTGTCTGAAAAAAATGTAAATTTTTGTAAAAAAATTTTGTTTAAATTATTTTTTTTTCGTATAGTAAAAAGAATTGAGAAATTTGCTATTGGAGATGGGAGCGCAACTTGGTGGGGGGCAGACAGGGGGCAACGTACCATGGACCTTCGTGCCAGGTTTTAAATTGGGCAAAATCCTAAGCTAGATCTCTAAACTTATTTTTAATTTTTCTTTAAATTTTAAATTTTTATTAAAATAAATAAATTTTTAAATGTGATAATTTAAAGTAATTTAATTTTTTTATAATAAACTTAATATTTATTTGTATTTTATTTATATAAATAAGTTATTAACAATGTTATTATTTACGAGATGAGTATATTCTTTGTCTAAAAAAAATAACATCAATCTATTTTTTAAATAAAACACAGATAAATATTAGATTTACTGTAAGAAATTAAATTGTCCAAAAATTTAATAAAAAATCTACAATTAATTTAGAGGCGTTAATTTAAGGTTTTGCCTTTAATTAGCCACAATTTCTGATCCCAACCCAGTTTTCAAGAAAGGCTGCAATTATGGTCTGTGGCCAAGTCAGATATTGATGATATGGAAATTGGAAGATCGGACCTGGTTCTGAAAAATCGAAAAATGTTCATTTCATGGATAACGACTGCTAATCAATGCGTTCACCGAACCTTTTTGATTGAGGATGTTGACTACAAAAAGGTATTACATAAAGAAATAAAAAAGAATGCCTTCCGTCCCATTCTCGTGAGTATGTAGTTTTTTTTTTTTTTTTGCTAAATATTAAAATTATAAAATTTAACTTTATTTTTTGAAATTAGTACTTATTAATTTTTACTCTAAAAAAATTAAAATTTTAATTCATATTTAAAAATTAAAATTTCAATTTAAATTTTGAATTAAATTTTAACTGAATAAAATAATATAATTTAATATTAAAATTCTAATTTATTTTAATAATTGAAATTGATATGTATTTTTATTCTTATTTTTTTGATAAATAAATTTTCTAATATTATATAAAAAATAATTCATAAGATATAAGAATAAAAATATGCAAAAGTAAAAAATATGTAAAAAGTTTTACAAACACTATAAAAAGGTATTACATAAAGAAATAAAAAAAGAGTAAAAACTTGAAACAAGTAACTGCATATAGTTTAACAAATTCATATAATAGTTTAGCAAATACATACAATACGAACAAATTCATAAAAAATAGTATAAAGAAAGTAGAAATTTGAAATAAATTGGGTTTTATGTTTTTATAACTATACTATAAAAATATAAATTTAGGTTGGGTTGAGAAAAAATTAATTGAGTTTTATGTTTTTTAAACATATTATAATTTTATATAAATATAAATTTATATTTTTTTATTATATATAAATCCTCACAATGACCTTGGGGCGAAGGAAATTTTTTGCAAAATTTTATAGGTAAAAAAATATCTCCATCCTCACCTTATGAATAAAAATATTTTTAAATCTTCATCCCTGCAATGAGGATCCTTGTGATATTTTATGAGTTTCAGAGTAAATTGTCATCTTTAATTAAGATGTCAAAAATTATCTTTGGAATAGATACTTTCAAGTAGGGATAACAATGGGTTCTCGCGAGAACAATGACTCTTTCCCATCCTAATCCCTACCATTGGTTGAAATGAGGATTCTTGTGAAGATTTTGGATAGAGGACAAAAAATGCCCTCCATTTCCATCCCCACAAGGAACTAGGGATCCTTGTGGGTATGGAGAACCCCACAAAAGTATAAAAAATTAATTTTTTTTGTTTAACTATACACAAAAATACTTTAATTCATTAAATTCTTAGTCCAGGAAAAAATTCTAAAAGCATTTTAGAAAAACTAATTATTTTTAAGTGTTTTTTTTTTCTAAAAAATTAGTCAAATAAAATAAAATAAGTTGAATACAAATTAAGAGAAAACCATTAAATAAAGAAGTGAAGTCGAGGCACTTGGTCTTTTCAATCTATTGGCTTTGCCATCCTTGATAGGTGCACCTCTCATCCCCTTAGGCTGGATTTTGATTCCCTTCACCCCCAATTTGTAATACGATAAAAAAAAGAAAAAAAGAAAAAAAAGAAGTGATGTTGGGAGAAACTAAGGTAATAGAAATGAAAGATGTGAGAGTCAAAGTGTTTGTGGTGAGATGCAAGAGCCAAAGTATTTGTTGTTAGAATTTGTGAATTTAAAAATTGAGATATTTGAGTTTGTTATAATTTATAAAAATATAATTTATAATATTTTATTAATTTACAATTCCTTGCAAGGATTTGTGAGGTAGGAAAATTTCTCACAAAAATTTATAAGAAATAAATCACTTCCATTCTTACCTTACAGTGAAAATATTTTGAAAATATCTATGCCCGTAATATGAATCCTTATAAAATTTTGCAAGTCATAAAGGAAATTATCATCCTTATTTTAGAGTGGTACTACTTTAGGGTACTTATATACCCTCTAGAGAGTGGGTATAGCTATAATTATATAATAAAATATTAAGATTATATAAAATTTTAAATATTATTTTTTAAAATATTAATTTAATTTAATTTTATTATTAAAATATTATTAATTATAATTATTAATTAATTAAGTAAAATATAATAATTATTTATTATTTAATATATTAAAATTATGATATAAATTAATATTCTTAAACACTATAACTATTTATTTATAAAAAATAATATTATTATCATCTTAATAATTTGGCGTCTGTGGCCACATACAGACCTATAAAGAGCACTTAATCTAGACGTCGTAGAGCCATTGGTTCTTTTGGATCCTTTGTGGTGCATCATCGAGTGCTCATATGATAGCTATTTTGGGCTTGGGCTTGGTTTTTATTAGTATTGGGTTATTGTTATGCCAATGAAACAATTCGTTGGATAATGATTTATTCCATAAAGATTCAAAGAATAATTCATCCCTTTCTAAATCACTTTCCAACCAACCATTATAGAAGCGCATTAGCCGGCATCATGTTGGTAATCTGTATCAAATATTTTGATTAGTATTAAAATTTAAGTTTTGTTTATTTAGTTGTAATAATTTTTTTTTTCTTTTTTTTTTTTTGGAACTGATTTTACAAGGGGCTGAGTTCGAACCCCAGTCCTAAGGGAGGAAGAAATGCACCATGAATGGCTATTGCCACTTGACCCGAAGAGCTCGGTGCTGTAATAATTTTTTTTTAGTTTGAAGAATAAAAGAAACCATTATAAAAGTTAAGTGTGAAATCTTCAATATAAAAAACTTAAAATTTTAAGACTAAATGTTTTCCTTAAAAGGCGCACAAGCTATCATCATTAATTCACTTCTTCACTTCAAATTAACATTTCTTGGCACTAGCAGCGCCGGTATGTGCTGTTCATGTGTAGTAAAAATTTTAATTTATATTAAAGTTTAAGTTTTTTAGAAATAGTTATAATAATTTTCTTTTCTTCCAAAAATTTTTCTTATTAGAAAATATCTTTTAATATTTTTAATATTAAAATATTTAATTTTAACCATAAAAATAAAATTTACATTATCTTTTACTCGATATGACATTATAAAATATGAACACATCAATCTAATCCAATGGAAACTATACAAGTATAATAATTAATGGAGGATGGCTCCTTAACAAGGAACCTTACCTGTATTTTGAGCTTTCAAGTTTTATCGCATCAAGTTACGTTTAAATGTATTTTTTTGGAGTAATGGTTCAAATTCGACCTTGCAAAATTGTTAAAAAAAAAAAAAAAAAAAACAACCACAACGTGGAGCCTCTCCTCTAAATTAATGGCCATTCTCAAACACCAATGACTAAAACGCTAATTTTATTTATCACCAGATGTTAACTTGGACTCTTCCAGAGCCCAGCATCCTTAGAGCACAACATTACATCTCTTAATTAATTAAGAAGAGGAGACTAATAATTCTTCCACATTAAGCTCATCCTTGTATATATACGGCTTAATGTTTGCCCCATAATCACTTGGAAGATCATAGTACCTAGACCAAAGCATAACGCCTCCGTATTTGTCCGATTGTTTCACCACCGGAAGGATCTGATTTATGAGAACATCTTCCGGAATAAACCCCCCCGACGGCGCTGCATCATTCGACGCCGGCAACCCCAAAGATATGTTACCTGCAATTGTTGAGGAAACCCATGTGTTCCAGGAATTGATAATGTTATCAATGTTACCTGAACTATACTGGCACGGGGGATTGTTGTAGAATTGAACCCAAACAGCGTCGAAGAGACCTGTAGAAATGGCGATGTTCAAGTGAGCATCAGGATATGGGCACTGTGGTGCTGCAGTCAAATACACATTCTGATCGTACGCTTTCAAGAAGTATGTGAGATTGTCGTAGTACTGGCTATCGCCGAACACTATAGCGAAATCGACACCGTCGAGTATGGCGGCTCCAAGCGGGCCGGTGGACGTGTTTCCGTCCAGGAAGTTGGTCCATATATAATCTGCCACGTCCTGTGCGTCCTCCACAGAAGTCAAGCTGTAGGTATCGGTTTCACCGCCAATGGAGATCAGCACCTTGATTCCAAGCTGCTGGCAGTATGATATCTCTTGGCCAACCCCAGTATTAGGACAATTATGTAATTTGACTATGTACATACATACATATAAATATGTAACCCTAATTCTATTGTGAATGAGAATCATATTATTCACGGCTATATGGTATCAGAGCCGCAATCCAGCACCAAGTCTTCTATTTAGGTTTTCTTCATTCTTCGTACATAGAAATATGTAACCCTAATTCTATTGTGAATGAGAATCATATTATTCACGGCTATACCCAGTACAGCCATCGGGAGTCCACGAGCCACAGTGACCAGCAAGATTGATATCTGGGGTTTGGCCACCGCCAAATTTTTATAGGAAAGCGATATTAACTATGTCATATCTACCGCTAGCACAAGTGTCATTTAGGGACCCCTCATTTCCGTTTTGGCCCCGTAGATAATAAGGGCGCCGCCGGTGGCGGCCTCAGAGGTTTGGGGAAGAGGAAGAAGAAGTGCGAAGAGAATAGCCACGGCAGCAGGAAGTTTGCTGGTCATTGTAGGAAGTATATGTCTCAGATCTCGGGCTTTGTGGGTGAAAATGTCTCAAGATTTTTGTCCTTTTTATAGAGTTTGATGGCATGATGCAGTCAAGTGATTTCTTAAATTTTTTTCTTAATAATTATATTTGTGAGTCTGGACTGCCTAATATTAAAAACACACATGATTGCCATGGCACACGGAAATGTTTTTGATTTCACTTGTGAATTAATCGTACCTTTTTTTTCCTTTAACTAGGGCAATTTTGAAGTAAGGGGAAAGGGTTAAACCAACTCATGAGCTCGGAGTATCCCTTTTTACTAAACGATTTATAAGAGCAGGCACGTGAATTAATCGCACCTTAGTACAGAATCGACATTAACTTCTATTATAGTACTACCTACTACTTATGTGGTGCTCTGTACTTATTCGATAAACAAAAAGGAAAAGTGACAAACACAATCTCATTTAATAGTGGCACTTCAGCACATCCAGTGAGTGGGTTCAAACCAATCCCCATTTCTAGAATTTTTACAATTTAAAAAATATATTATTGAATTAAAAAAGGCCTGTAATTAAGAAAGAGTCCTGATGTTTTACACCTTAATAAAATTAAACAAGCAAACAGTAAAATATCATACTCATATTATAAAACTGGTTAAGGTTACAGTGAGTATTGAATCTATTAAGATAATTAATAATTAATAAAATAATTAATATTATAATTAATTATTTAACAATAAAATTATAAAGAAATGAAATTACAATTAAATGAATGATTTTCACATATTGAAGGGTGGAAATAATCTTAGCCTTGTAGAACCTGATCCTTCGGGTCAAGTAGCTCTAGTCACGTTTGTAAGGTTCATATCTCCCTTTTCTAAGGTAACGATTCGAGCCGACACAAAAATGTTTAAAAAATAATAATAATAATCTAGCCTATAAAAATGACTACAAATTTCGACAGGTCAAAGTCAATATATTAAAGCCCCCAAGAGTGATAAACATGGGCGACACCATCTGAGACGTGAAAGTAGGCCTGTCGTCAAGTGAAAAGAGCAAAGCCAATAAAACCCACTCCTTTCGTTCTATTGTACTTGTAATATTCGAATCTGTACACATTTTTTGAAGTTCTTTTATAGCAAATAAAAAGCATTTGAATTTGAATTTAAGATCAAAGAGATATAATCTCTAAAAGTTGAGCTTTCTCTCTCTAGAATTCCTTGTATTGATGCTGGTTTGTGACACAATTCGAAAGTTTTCTTCTCCTCAGGAAGTTGATCTCCTGGATCGGAGTGTCAAAAAGGTCAAAGAGTGTTCTGTGGGCCAATCTTTGGCCAAGAACTCGAGTATTGAAATGATTTCCACTTTTGTTTCTAGTGCTTGTGTAGCTCCACAGAAGGATCCGGATATTATGGTGGGCGGGTGCCCCTCATCTACAATTAGCAATGATTCACAACAGGCAACTGTCTCCCGAAACGTTCATATAAGGACGCTCTGGTTGATGCTAATATGGTAGATCTTGCCAGTATCCAAGGAATGAGTGGGACTTTATCCTTCAAGGACAAACTACTAGGAGTGGAGAACCCTTTTGCTATTACCTTTTTGACAATCCCTTCTTAGGAATCTGATGTAGATGAAGACCCTAAAGATGGTACCCCTGTTGTTCTCTCCAAAGCAAAGAAATAGAGGATCAAAGCCCCTTGAATGAATACCTTAATCATTAAGGCCTTTCATCATTAACCCCATTGACTGTAACTATATTTTTGCTAGGCCGAAAGCCCAATGGAAACCCACTGGACACTGAGATTTTATTTGATCTCGACCTTGATTTCTTTCTTATGCGATTTTAGGTTGAGGAAAACTTGCATTGTATGATTTGGTGGCCACTGGTTTGTTGGACCCTATTTTCTCACTTTATGAAGATGGGAACCTCACTTTGTGCCATCGAAGGCTTTTAATTCCTTCACAACCATTGCCGTATAGGCACAACCACCAAATCTATTTGCATAATGTTATGACCCTTTCACCTTACAAAAAATTGGTAACAAAATAGGTAATTTACTTCATGTGAATGCTCATACAGCCAATCACACAAGGGGATGATATGCCTGCATCTGTGTTTAGTTTGATCTTTTCAAATTGGTTGTCAAATATGTCAAAATTGGAAGATGAAGATAGAAAGTGTTGCATGAAGGAGTTAATGCTCTGTGTTTCTCTTGTGGACAAATAAGACATAGGAACTCTCAATGTCCTAATGGCACTTCCTTGTCTGGTACAAATATTCCTAAACACTCATTAACCCCACCTACCAATCAGAATAGTATGGAAGTTCATTCAAATTTGGACGCAGCTTAGAGACCAGCCCCATTGGGGAATAATCATCTACTGATTGGTAATCAAATCCAAGAAGATCAAGTCCCCTCTGCTAAGGTTTCAAGGCAGGATGAATTTGGGCCTTGGTTACTCGTTGAGAGACGTTGGACTAGAAAGAAACCATCTCGGGTGTCAAATCAAACAGAAAAATCTATTCCAGTGAAGAAAGAAGGATGCGGGTCAGGTTCACAAGATCACAAGGGTGGGTCTAGACACCAAGTGGGCCAAACCGCCTCATTTCCCAATAGTCAACCTAGTGGTTCATTTAATGTTGATCAAACACATTCAAGTTCCCCTTCAATAGTCATTAAGGATCCAATCACGAATTACAATATTGATACTAAAGAACCCAATATTGGCCCAATCTCATTATTGGCCCCCAAAACCCTAATGGTTTATCAACAAAAAACAATTGTCTAACACAAGCCCTATGGTTAAGACCGTAACTGCCCTCACCAATTGTAACCAAGCTAAGGGGCGTTTGGAATTACTGTAAAGTATTGTGACTGTAGTTGTAGTTGTGATTATAGTTGTAGTTGTGATTGAAAGTTATTTTAGTTGAAAGTTATTTTGGTGTTTGGTTATTTATTTCTTAAAAGTATTATAAATTAAATATGGTAAAT